AAAAAAACGACGAAACTAATCCTGAATCCGTGATCTCCATCAAAACACAGCTCAGTTGTTACCATTATGTGCTGCTGCTGCTGCTGCTGCTACAGCGGCGCATGTCTGTGCGTAATCACCGTAATGTCTGGAGTAAAGGCGCAACCGGATTTAATCCTGGAGCAATGCTGGCCGGGTAGCTGTGAGCTTAACCGAAGCGTCACTGGTGAGAATAAAGGGCTAATGTCACTGTTTTGTCAATTTATGTGAAAGTGATAATTTAAGAGGTAAAAACTATCATTAGTAGGTATATTGTTCTATAAATAGGTATTTCATGGTGAAAGGGAGTCCATAAGACGAGGTGGCCGAGTGGTTAAGGCGATGGACTGCTAATCCATTGTGCTCTGCACGCGTGGGTTCGAATCCCATCCTCGTCGGAATGTGTTTTTTCTTTCATATAATGTGTCCCATTTACTTATATAGCCATAGTTTCTTCTTAAAAAAGATCTAACTTGATTTGTTTATTCACGAGGTAAATAAATACTGTATATACGAGCAATGATTTACAGTATCAGTGTAGTCTTTTGGTTTTTCTACTAATCTTTACTATTAAATTTTATTTGAAGCAGAAATAAACTAATAGTGGGGTGTTGCAAAAAAAAATTGTATATCCCTTTACATGTTTTTTTTTTTGTGTAGAGACCAACAAAGACTGTGGTTGTAAGGGAATACCTATTGGACCTTAGTATTCATACACCAGTGCAGATAGATAAATCTGAGAAGAAGACGTTTGTAAGCCACACTTTTGCTATAACAATATGAAATCTACCACATAAATACATGGAATACTGCTTGAAAGGGTTTAACTTTATGACAAAAGTTACATTGTGGATATATCATTAGAGGCTTTGTGCCACACAGTGACAAGGATGTAAGACACCAGACAAAAAAGCACAATTGTCACATTCTTTAATTCATGACCATCAACAAAAACACTTTTGTCCTTACAACTACATAAACAGTGCACACAGCAGGTCCTAGGCGGCATTTCCTCAGTTTAGACTGTGCTAAATAATTAATTCAGCCACTTCACGTTGAAGCATGTACAAGTTTTATTGTGTTTTCAATGACAGGGGTTTATTCTTAAGATGTGGTGGTAGCACTGACTTCTTGTCACATCACAGCATGCACTTTAGAAACCAACGAACACAGACGACCTCACATCAGCATAATAATAACGATTTGTGAATGAAATGTTCCACAGAGTGGACGGGGGAGTTTGAACAAAGCTAATTCATTTTTGTCTTTAGTGCCATGTTTACGGTATAATCTCTTCTTCATGCTCATAACACATGTTGTCAAAATGCCTTCCTGGACCTGTGCTGGGTGACTCTTTGCAAAGCTCAACCTACTTTAGGGCCCTATGAAATCAGCTTTTATTTTTCCTAATTTCTTTCCTAAGTTGTTAGTCCAAAATGTTTAGATTAGAAAATGTAAAAGTGTATAGATGCATTGTGATGTGTTTTTTTTATTTAATAACCGTGTGTACTTCTATCTAAAAAGGCATTTGAAATTATTTTTTTAACTTTTAACTTTTAACCCAGCGCCTCTGCAATTATGTTACATGAGAAAAATAACTATTTTCTTTCATCTGAGACAGAATATTACTTGCTTATGTGTAAATAATACTAAGACTAAAACAAGTACATGAATTGTTTAATTTATGCCACAGTATTTCAGAAAAAAAAAAAGTCAGATTCACTGAAAGGCAAATGTAAGACGAACACCCTTAATTTTTTAACGCGCACTAGCATTTACATACATAAGCAAAGAACTATGTGTACTGGTAGTAGCTCAATATCAAGTGCATTATGATTTTGCAGAAATGTCGTCAAAACCAAAGTTATCCTGTGAAAAGTTTTTTTTTTTTAACCTAGATTTTGTGACTCCAACTGTGTTTTCAGTGCTGCAGAAATCATAAGGCCCCTACTGCCGCCCTCTCTTAATTCAAACTATGACACTAGAACGCCAGCGCCGCTTTTAGACCCGCCTCCTTCGCTGTCCCTGGAAGACGCCGCTGACTGGCCTTGGCCTTCTGCTTCACCCTCTCCCACCAACCGGATGTTGTAACGTTCCCTGTACTCTGTGAGCTCCCGTCCTTTCGACTGCATCTGTGTGTTGATGGACTCGATTATTTTGGAGATCTGTGGGGGGGAAAAGGGAAGAGAGTGAGACCTTTTATAATAGATTTTAGACTTGTGGCTGAAGTTGTATTCTGATTTGTCTCTAATTATGTTAAATTAATATATTTAGATAAAAGCTTAACAGTACAATTCTAACAATTAAACACTACCACACATTATATATATATTTGTTGTTCTTTTCTCATCCATCACCTGTTCTTTGTTGGTTTCCAAGGCGGGCAGAACTTCTTTTACCGTCCTCTCCACCAACACTCCTCCTACTAGACGAAAGCATTTTCTCGAAGGGTCCACATCCTTCAGGGTCTCAATTACTAAACTGGATGGGGGGGAAAAAACATGAATCCATCAAGAGATCCAGTCAGCTGGTCAGTTAAACAGCAGGTGAAACATTTTTTTTTGCTCAAATATGAAATGAGTGTATTAAAAAAAAAAGGCTGCAGAGGTGGAACTTCTGCTACCAACTTGTGCTCGTTGATCTCCATCTCCAGCTCTGCAGCTTTGGAAGCCATACTGCGCTGCTCCTGACGCATCCTCTGAAATGTTGCCACCACCTGTCACATAAAATAAAAAAACCACAAAGTCAATACAGACAAACGGACTTGTGTCGTCTATGGTGATCTTAGTTTGAATCAGTACTGTAGTGTTCAAAAGTAGTGTTGGTTCTTATCGATCCTGGTGGAGCCTCCTGCCATGGTCCTGCTAGATTGCCATTGCCAATACTGTTGTAGCTGTGCACCTGTCTGTCTGTCTGTCTGTCTCTCTCTCTCTCTCTGTCTCTCTCTTTCACCCCAACTGGTCGAGACAGACGACCACCCACCTAGAGCCGGAGGATCTGTCCTAGGTTTCTGCCTTTTAACAGGCAGTTTTTCCTTGCCCTTGTCGCCAAGGTCTTGCTCATGGTGGTACTGTTGGGTCTCTGTAATTAATGTTTTAAAGAGTTCGGTCTAGACCTGCTCTATTTGAAAAGTGACCTGAGATAACTTCTGTTATGAATTGGCGCTATACAAATAAAATTGAACTGAAATTGAATTGAAACAATGCTATGAATTAAAGAATTATTTCTTAAGTAAATTTCATGTGATTGTTAGAAACAGAAGTTAGATTAAATATCACGATACAATTATGTGAAGATTCAACTCGGTCAGATGAAAAATGAATCGTGGTGTCAAAGCCTGAAGACACTAGTTTCACTTTCACAAAGAAAAAGGAGATTTGCATTGTTTTTAACCTTCCTCAGCAATAAAACAGGATTTCATACATTTATACAGAAAATATAAAAGAAATATATTTTATATATTCTGTAGATCTTTTTTTAAAGGCACAATTTGTTGTAAATTCATTGTGAATTGTATCAAATTGTGAATTTAGTGTATTGTTACCAGCTTTAGTTACAAACTATGATTCTGCACTGAAGTTAATTTCCAGGGATAATAAACACCTTTTAAGTACATTTACATTTACTTTTACATTACTGATGCACTGTTTTAGATTAATACACTTAATAAAACATATAATGTAGTGGACATTAGTTTCTCTGTAATGATTTAATAGTATAATATCAGACTCTGAAAGGTCGCAGTCCACTTCAGTAAATATAAGACAAAACAACCTTTCCTAACTTAAAAAAAAAGACTATTTTAAATCAGCAGTACACATTAAAATGAAAATAAAAGTTAGTTTCAGTTTCCTAGATTCTGTATCACTAGAAGAAGAAGAAGAAGAAGAAGAAGCGATAGCCCGATGGGGGGGGGGGAGCTAACGTTAGCATCAACTAGCTGGGAGTCAGATTAGCGGCTGTAGCTTCGCCGGACTCGACCGAGCAGCACCGATAGTGAGTGTAGCAGCTGAAGCGACCCGAGGTGGAGGTGACGGTACCTGCTCGGCCGACGGACCGGACTGTTTTCCGCCGCCGCTGTTGTTGGATTTGCTACCCGTGCTGCTGCTGTTGGTTGCCATCTTGGAAGGGTGTAGCTGAGAAGGACCCCAGGCAGCATGTGTTGTTGGAGCTGGTTCGCGGATGTGCCTGTGTGGAAATGCAGCCCAGTTTTTTTTTTTTTTTGGAAGGATGTGCCTTTTTTTCTCCCTCTTGTAAATAGTCAGAATAGTGGTTGTTTGTTTTAAATTACATTAAAAGGAGAATATAAGATATTTGGTTATCTAAATGCTTTTTCTACTCTATTGATCACAGGAAAAAATCTATTCAGCACAATCTTGGCACCCAGAAAAATCACATGACTGCCCATTTTCTGATTTCTGAACAAGCAGCAGCAACTGGTCTATAATATTTTACTCAAAGACAAATTAAAAGCCATTGTGATCATTCTGACACATCATGTTTTGACCTGATTATTGATCTACTGGGTCTCCGAGGCTCAGATCACAACGCATTTGCAGCCACCAACTGTGTTTCCATAAAATATGCAGGTTTTTTATTAAAAAAAAGTAGTAGTAGCAGTAAAGTACAGTTTAATCAACACAACACACAAATGAATATATTAGTGTTAGTTAGTGTGTATAGGACATTCAGCAAAGCCTTGAAGACAGACCCTTGATGTTAATTATTGTTGATAATCACCTGAACTACCGAACCATTTGCTTTATTAATCTTATTATTTTATATAAATTTTTCTGCATTACTGTACATCTATATATTTTACCAAAAAACACACTTTACTCTAGGTGTTACCAACATAGACATATATATATATTGTATATATGTCTATGGTTACTAATTACATGTTGCAGGCAAAAGTAAATACTCTCCAGCAGGTGGAGATGGTGTGCCTTAATGCTGGTTTTTATGTCCTCTGATGAAGAACAGAAGAAGTCATCAGAAGCTCGTCTGATCCTTCCTGCTGTGCACTGAACTAAACTTAATGTGCTACTAACATGGACTGACACTCTGTCTCGGTCACTTGGGCCAATGTTCACGGTCAGGTGCATTTGGGTAACATCTGCAAAGAGTTTGTCCTCTCTCCCACCTTGGAGACAGCGGATCAAGCTACAGAACAGGTATGTGTGTTATTCTAACAAGGGAATATATTGTTTTAATCTCTAACAGCTAGACCTTTAAACAGGGCACCTATGATAAAGACTAGATCTGTAGTGTGCTGTGTTATTGATATGATTTGGATTGTAAACATACATGAGTAAGATGGAAATCAGAGCATATAGACCTGAAGTGATACTTGGTCCATTGACAGTAATATATGCAAATACACAGAGTTTTTATTTCAGATATTGCATTTAAATGTCTCCATATCCAAGTAAGATCACTAAAGGTGCAAAGCTGTACAATATTATGCAATAAATATATAACAGAATAACAAGTGAAGTTAATGATTAACCATGGCTGACCTGATGTCTTTGCCTGGCATGCAGCTTCTGTTCCCTGGATACTATAACAATCTCTTCTCCGTGCAGGATGTCGACTTTACCTCGCCCAGTGGCTGCACTGTGTCAGGTGACCGCCACCCCGGACAAAGAGGCCAACTTCTCTGCCTGCAAACAGCTGGTGGAGGAAGCCAAGGAGCGAGGGGCCAGCATGGTCTTCCTGCCTGAGGGCTTCGACTACATCGGATCCAGTCGAGAGGAGACGCTGTCGCTGTCTGAGAGCCTGACAGGAGACACAATCTCACAATACACTCAGCTGGCCAGGTGGACAAACAGTAATTATTTCTGAAACATTGACTTATGTACCACTTGTTGGCTTTGTTTTAGGTGTTTTATGTATTTTACTTTTGGCAGAAAAGCTTGTTCGGTTCACTGCTGGAAGATATTTGTCAGTATATTAAAAATATACAGAACCAGCATTGTTTTGCCTCCTGCTTCTTCACGCTTTCTTGAGGCAAAACATACTGTCGGCTTCTCATGAACAGTTAAAATAAAGAGCTGTTGTGTGCTGTAGTAATTAGAGTCTAAGTTCAGTAAGTGTATTCTAACATAGTGTAATGTAATATGTATTTGGTAGAAAAGCGAGACTGGTTGGTAAAATGAATCTCTACTGTTTGATGTGTCATGTGAGGAAGATGTGAATAATCTGCACTTGTTTAGTATTCCTTCGGGTATTTTAACGTCTCCTTCTTCCAGGAAGTTGGAAGTGTGGCTGTCTCTTGGAGGATTTCACGAACGAGGACATGACTGGGAGTCTGACAGACGAATCTACAACAGTCACATCATAATTAATGATAAAGGTACTGCCCGTTGAACAGCCTCTCTTTACATGCCCTCACACAAATACACGCTCACACTGACACATTGTCATTAAACCCACAGGTGACATCATTTCAGTCTACAGGAAGTCCCATTTATTTGATGTGGAACTGCCAGAAAAAGGCGTGTCCCTTAAAGAAAGTGCCTTCACCATCCCTGGACCCTCCCTCGTGTCTCCGGTCCAAACTCCCATCGGCAAGGTGTCATTTTATGTGATAATAATCATCATCACCAAGTTGACCTGTAAATGCACATGAATTCTCCACATTAGGTGCTTTATTTGAGGAATCTATTTTTCACCTATTAAACTTTAACTCAAAACGATAAATATCCATAGAGCAGACCAGCAAACAGTTGAGTTATTCCAATTTTTGTCTTGACTGGACCATTTAAAAGAAAACTAACTAACATTACATGTACTGTATTGATTTAACTGTTGGATTTAGACAGAATAAATTATTTTCAAAATGTAATGTATTACATATTTACTCTCACTTGAAAGCAATAAGTTAGAGTTTTATTGTCTTGTGTAGAGTAATGTGTAACTGATTACACTACTTTTGCATTACTTTCACAAAAATAACTGCAGAAGTACGACTAGGCATTGTAAACTGGGAGAGGTTTATTGCAGTTCATTACATAGCCAGTGGTAGGCGACATTGTATAGCCTAATTAAGGATCTCCTCCAGAGTGCAGATCTGGCCCATTCATGCATTCACATGCAGACTGGAAGTATACCCATTTTGAAAATGTAGAGTCTGCAGCCATTGAATTTTGGTAAGAGGAAATTCTTAGTATATTTTTCTGGTGGCGAAAGAGCAGAAGTGAAGTTGTGTGTGTGTGAATGAATTCGTGACATAGAAAATGTCATAATATTACCTACTTCGAGTTATATTGCGTTACCCCCAGTGCTGCTCCAAAGTTTTGGCTGTAAGATGCAGTAGGAGATTAAACAAATTTGAAGAAACAAAAAGGCAAATATTTCTTGGTCAAATGTTCAGGCATGTTTTGGATCCCAACATTTAACATTAAGATCTGTTTGTGTTTGACCTTTTGTTATATTGCTTTGACAGGTTGGCCTGGGCATCTGCTATGATCTGAGATTCCCTGAGCTGTCGCTGGCTCTGCAAAGGCACGGGGCCGAGATTCTGACATACCCATCAGCCTTCACTGTAGCAACAGGATCTGCTCACTGGGAGGTGGGATGAGTCATCATAAGATAACAGACTGATTACTGAGGCAAGCTTAAATATAAACCCAAGCAAACATAAACCTCATGTATTTATTCCCAGATTTTACTTCGAGCAAGAGCAATCGAGACCCAGTGTTTCGTCCTGGCGGCAGCGCAGGTCGGCCGGCACCACGAGAAGCGTTCATCGTACGGCCATTCTCTGGTGGTAGACCCATGGGGTGAGGTGCTGGGCGACTGCGGAGGGGAGAAACCGGGCATGGTGCTGGTGGAGATTGACCTGGAGAAAGTCCGCAGCACCAGGAGGAACATGCCGGTCCAACAGCACCGCAGAGACACTGGTTTCTATCATAGTCTGGAGAAGACTTGACAACAAGAAAAAAGTCTGTGTCACTGAAAGGCTGAACATTGGCAACAAACTGAAATGATGAAAACTTTCATTAATATCTTACAGGAGACAAATTAATGAGGTATTGAATTTATGAAGGCGGACTTAGGTCAAGTTCATATTTCAAAATCATAACAGGTTTTCTCTAGTTTAGATTTCTGAAAAACACATCAAATGATTCTGATTAATGAGAGATCGAAGGAGAAATAAGCCTGTTTTAATCAGAAACAGCATGTAACAGTGGAAACACAGCAGGAGGAAAAAGGCATGCATTCTTGTCAAATGAAGCTTTTAATGAATATCAGGGAAGTGTAAACATGGACTAGTTGATCTGCTCTTGGTGAGATAAAAGTAGTGTCAACTGTAGATTATTGGAGCTACTCATGGTACTGTCCCCAGAGTTTCTTTTCATCACTGCAATAGATAATTTAATTTCCAGTCAGCTCACTCACAGCTGTATGTGTATCCCGATCGAGACCAATTGAGTCTGTAAATGTCGTACTGGTCAATAGATGCTACTGCCGGGGTAGTAACAATATAAGAAACAGGAGGGAATGGCAAAAGCTTACAGTAAAACATTCCTGTATTAAATTGATATGTACACATTCACCTGTAATTGTCCTGTGATTAGATTAAAGACTGTTAAAAGATTATAAACGCAAATATCTGAAAACCTCTCTTTCACTTGGTTGTTTTTGTCTTCCATTTCCAGTACAAATTAAATTCTTCCTTTTGCTTGATGGTAACACATCTCTGTCTCTGACGTGCAAAATGATTATCTCACTTAATGACTGAAATGGTGAAATGTTTAATCCCTCCACTGGGGCCCAGAAACCAGGAAACTAATTTCATCTGTAGCCTAAAATCACAAATGTGCTTCAAAAGGTCTTAAAAAATGTAAATATGAATAAACGCTGACAATAGTAGATTAAAAAAACAAACAAATTATCAGTATCAGGTTTGAATTTGCTTTGGTATTTTGATGCATAACAATAAACAATAGAAAGAATTACAATAAAGAATATGAAAGATAAATCTATTTTGAAAAGGAAACGAACAGTATAGTATTTCAAATGAAGAAGATGGATTGTGAAGATGTTATGAAGTTAAAAAAAAGGTGCACTGATGTAACACATTACATGGAGACTTAATGTAATGTGTAGTGTAAGTAAATATAAAAACATTTATCCATCCTTTGAAATCTGAAAGAGAAGGTTTCAGTTTGAGGTTGATTCATGTTGCTTTTTGTATTGAACAGCTGGAAACTCACTAAACATCAAGGTTTGTCAGAATCTTCATAACTTAAAACAAATGAAAAGTCTTCATCACATTGTGGGTTAATATCATATTCATACATGTAAATGGTAAAGGCCTAAATACCCCTGTAATTAATTAGACATTGTAAGAACATATTTTTCCATTCAATGTTTTTCATAGATTTCACCCAAATGTAAGAGGTTATCACTCTGTGCTGGAAAGTTCTTCCACACTGAACTGGGAGAACTTTCTGGAGCTCACTTTGTGCGTTTTGAAACAACCACACACTGTTGTAAACTCTGTGCTTAAGGTGTATTATCGAGCTTTTTCCAGAGCTTTCAACCACAACCAACAGCCCCAAGACCCCAAATATTCAAGTATAACATTTCTGCATTCAAACTGTAAAAGTATAACCATCAAAACATACTTCAAGTACCAAAAGTAAAAGTACTCATTACGCAGAATGACCCTTTTCAGAATCGTATTACTGGATTATATATTATTGATGCATTAATATGTATATTACTTTAATGTTGCTGCTGGTGAGGGTGGAGCTAATGAATTTATATCCTGCTGGGTAGCTGAACTTATAATAATACTTTATAATTTATTAGTTGATTTTTATTTTGTGTTGATCTAAATCTAGAAGTACAGTATTTCCTCCAAATTGTCCAAACTCTAGTGGAAGTATTAAGTAGCATGAAGTACCTCAGAATTGTACTTACGGTAAGTGCAGTACTTGAGTAAATATACTTAGTTACTTTCCAAGACCCAAAATATACAATATATTACATTAAAATATGTAAATTCTCACATTTGAAAAATAACTTTTCTGAAATTCTTGCTTGATAAATAACCATAAAGATTAATCAATTATCAAAATGGTTGTGCATCCATTTTGTGTCCATCAATTCTTTGTCAATCAATTAATAATTATTGTCTCCACACTAGTGTTGGGCTAGTTAATCTATAAAAAAAAAATGTTGTACTCATTCTACTCGTCTGAAGTTTGAGGAGAAGTGACAAAATAAGTAGCAAAATGAATGAGGAATAAGTAATAAAGCTAAAATCACAAGACTAATATTACTTTACATATTACTCCCTGGCAACAGTAATTAGTTACACTCCTACCTATATTACATTTCTGCTACTTATTGTGTCCCTTCTCTCCAAAAATCATGAGCTTAAAATCCAAGATTTATTTATTAAAACCAAAGTAATGGGAGTATTTCCAGCTGCTGAACGGAAGCCTTTACAAAAATGAATCCAAGGAAGTGACTGGATTATTTGGATCAACAAAAGAAATTATGTAACTAATAATTTTTTTTTTTAGGGGGTTGTTAACTGAAACAATGTTACTAAAATGTATCAGTAATTAGTTACACTACTAGTTCCTGCACACTGCTACACACTTACAGTAAAGTAACGCAGCTCATTTGTACTTTATTCTACCTACAAGCTTTTATGATTGCAGCGACTGGATGAATAATTGATCCTCTTTTCTCCTCCCTGGTTGTTTTTACTATCAGATACAGGGTGGAGGAGGAAGAGGAGGAAGAGGAAGAGGAGGAGGAGGAGGAGGAGGAGGAGGAGGAGGTTGGTTGGTTGGTTGGAGCTGCTGCTGCTGGGATGGGAAACAGGAAGTGAACGTCACTGACACAGGAATGGGACTGAAAACAGAAAACACCATCATGATGAGGAGAATGTCAAATCCACCGGTGTAAAGGAAACAAAAAAAACAACCCTCAGTTTCAACTCAGGAAGAGGATGAACTGTTGTGTCCGAGCTGGATTTGAGGCATCAGGAAGGTACGTCGCTCCCGTTTTTATCCTAATAATAATAATAATTACTATTATTAGCGGTTAATGAGGGTTAGCTCACGTGTGTGTGTGTGTGTGTGTGTGTGTGTGTGTGTGTGTGTGTTTCACCATCCGAGGCCATCCGTCCGTCTGTACATACATCCATCCTCTCCTGTCTCGTTCATTGAGCTCACAGGTTGATTTTTCTCTCTTGTTGCTGTGGCCGAGCTGCCGTGCTAGTTAGCTCCCCAGCTAGCTTGCAGGCTAGTTTGCACTGTTCAATTGCATATGCACTGTTAGCTTGTGTGCAGTATATTTATATATGTATATATATATATATATATTTATATGTATTTATTTTTTTTGGCTGGTTTTTATTTGAAGGCTCTGGTGGACTCAGGCCCTCGGCTGCAGCCAGAGGGACACACTGCACAGTCCCGACTGCTGCATGCAAACAGTCTCCCTCTTTGATGTGCTTTTATTTTTTTATTTTTTGCTCTGGGCATTTTCACCATGTAATGCAGCATGCACGGCTAACCCTGCTGGACAGGACTGTGTGTGTGACATTGTGTTAACCCATGCTGGATGTGTCATGGTTGTTTCTCATCATTAGCACTGAATAATCAAATCAGTCACATGATGGTTATTCTCTTAAAACAAGCTCCAGTGATGTTTGCACCACATCCTATTGTTAAAGCTACTATGGAGGGTAAAAAAAAGTTGGGTTGGATATCACATTTATGTTTACTGTGGTGTTTTATATCTAATATTTTTATATTTTATTGTGTAAAGTAGCACTACGCATAGTTATTAAGGCTGATTTTGTTCATTAACATTTGAATGCCAACTGAAAACGACACAAAATAATAATAATTGAATGTATAAAGTTCTGTCCTCATTAAACAATATATAAAACAAACAGTAAAAATCAGAAACGCATGTAAGAGCCTTCCTGACTTTCCATCATCATATAGTTCATTGGCATTTACCACACAATACAGAAAACTGATTAAAAGTAATTTTTATGGCAAGAAGTCACACTCTTTGATTCTTAAAAGTGAATATTTGCTGGATTTCGTCATCTTTTATTATAGCAAACTTAATATATTTGGCTTCTGGACATTTCCTTGGATAAATTTAAATAGGCCAATATAAAATATATAAATTGTAGAGAATGTTTTTCACCATTTTCAAACATTTTCTAGACCAACCAATAAGATGGTTAATTTAAAATGTATATATTTGTTTATTTAATGTTTATTTGTATTGGAAAAAGTATATAGTATAAACCACTGCCACATACTACATCATTTATAGAAGAAGCTCATTTACAATGCCCATCCCTAGACATTGGCTGAGGGTAGATAATGACTTATAAATTGACTTCTTATCATCACATAGCCTGTTGACATTAACTACCTAAACTACTATTATTGGATTTTATTCAGCTCTAAACATACATAATGATTGATGTAGAAGCGAATGACTATTTTTATTATCGATTAGTTGTTTGTCTTATAAAATGAGTGAGAAATCTCCTGTGCATGTTCCCAAAATCTGGTTCACAATACTCTTATTTTTCAAGCTGGCAAATGTTTGGCATTTTTAATTGTTGAATAACTTTAACTTTTAATCAGTTATCCAATTTTTGTCGATTAACTAATCATTCGAGCACTAGTAGACAGCATGTCAAACATATTGACGTCAGGGGAATCTGCATGTGTACTCAAGTACAACTCAAGTTAATGTTTCCCTGCTGCTGCCTGTTAAGTCCGCCACTGTTCAGGTGTTACATTTTATATATTTATAATATATGATTACCCGGCTCTCCTTTCACAGCAGAATCACCAGTCTGTGGCAGTTTTACTCCGTTCACTCAGTGGTTACAGACAGGTCAAACCAGAGGCACTGCAACGCTGCTTATTTGATTTGCTGTCACTCTTGGTTTAATCAGCGCTCCTGATTGCGTTATGTCCGTCTGGAGTGTTTGCCTTCATTTCGTTAAGCATGACCTTAGAGTTTCATTCACAACCAGACAGTCGAGATGTCACATTCGAGTGTTCATCAACCTTCTCGAGGTAGAAGGTAATATTTTTTTGAATCTTGCTAAACGACCGTCTAGACTTTCACTTCCTTGTATGTCTCAGATGAAAACATCAGCCCGGACTTTACATCTCCAGAATGAGATGTCTGTGTTAACACGTGATCTGCGGTTTCTAAATGATTCACAGCACACGATGACAGCATATTGAGATACATTAATGACCTTGTTTTCACAGCTAAATGATGTTTTCAATAGAATTAGACCGCTTTTTAAAAACTCTAGGATGCATCCGCTGCTGTCTTTTTCAAGTAAAATGATATTCTCAGGCTGGCGTAGGCTGGATGAAATTGATAGCTGACAAAGCCTCATTGATAGCACACGCACACACTGAAGGATTTCTTGAATGGCTGCATTTCTTTTACTTTCACTGCAGGCCAGATAGGACATGTATTATTCATCTGTCAGCATTCATTTTGTAAAAGTAGGAACTTCCTCTGTCTTCAGTGGCATTTGCAGACATGTTAAACTGGAGCTAACAATCGTTTCACTAGAAATTAACCGTAGCAAGTTTTT